TCTGGCTGCTAGTAGAGACAGCCTTGTATTACAAAGATGCTCAATCTCACTGCTCTGGGACTTCTGTGAAAAACACATCCTGTGTTCGAGTCTCCTGGGGACAGGCGCTTTCAGCTTGGATTGACCCTTATTGTCCAACACCCCCTGTGCTTAACGAAATATGGAAACAACTCAAATTGCTGAAGGAGCTAAAGTGGCTGAGCTTGGGTGTCAGGCAACAGAATAGGGAGGGGAAGTGCACTTTCTCTTTGTAGATTCCAGGGTTTAGTTGTTCAACTGCATCAATCAATGGAGCCATCCAATGGCCTAAGAAATCTCTCCCTGTGCGTAGAGGGGGTTCTGTTGTAGCACAGTGGCTGGGGAGACCTGGAAGCCATCATGTGGGGCAGAGCAGGGAAATGGGAGCAGAACCAAACCCTTGAGTACTTTTTTGTAAATAACTGCAAACCAAGAGAGTGCTGAAAGCCAGTTCTACTCAGATGGCCTAAGCCTGCTTCCCAGTGTCACCCTTTCTGATCTGAGTGGTTAGCCAATATCTGGGGACTTGTGGGTTGTTTCTATTAGGAGCAATCAATGATGGAATCAGGCATTTCTTTGATGCAACCCTATTTATCTACAAAGAGTATGCAAAGTCCTGTCTCCCTGAACACCGCAGGAATCAAACAATTGGAGAGAGCTTCTTTGCTCATGGTTCCAAGCCCCTTTCCAGCTAGCACTCTGCCCAAGAGCTTTCTCTGAAGGTCATGCTACATATGCTTCTCTGGCTGTCTCTGGTACTTCCCTGCTGCCTTCTCTGTGTGCCTCTCTGGTGTTTCTGACTGCTTCCCTCCACATGCATGCATGGCTCCATCACAGCAATACCCACCCCCCTGCATATGCTCAGCTCCTTGCATATGGCCTGTGTTTTGGGTGGTGGCTCCTATTGTTTCAGCCATCTTATTCCATAAAGGACTTAATTGTTTCTTACATTTATCCTGAATTAAGGGCAGCTTTTACTCCCACCCGCTTCAAGCGCCCACCCCCCAGCACAGCATTGGGCACTGTGGGATGGAAAAGCCCATCAGCACCCCCACATCAAGAGGCTATCACATGTATGCCTTGGAAAGTGCTTTCTGGGTGGGTAAAGCAATGATTTTCGTGTATGTCTTTATGTGAGGTGGTCGAGGAGCACTGTTAGGGGGCTTATTCCTTCACCCTCTCACTTCCCTGGTCCTTCTCGCATGAACAGAGAGCAACAATACCCGAAGTCCAAAGGTGCAAACAATTTGATGTTTATTGGGGTGAACTTCCAGCAAGCATGATTCCAGTTTCCTTCCTTAGTGTCCCCCTTCCCAGCTCTGACACCACAGAGCCTTGCCTATGTCCCTGTTCCCATTTCCCCCCCCTTAACGAAACATGATCCCAATTCCCCCACCCCCAGTCCCTGTTCCCATTCCCCCCTTACTTCCTGTTTGACTGCAGACTATATAGTAAAACTTGAGTTCTGCTTAGCTAGACCTTAACCAATCATTTTACTGAAATTTAACTAACCAATCCTAACATACTGTAACATGGTTATTTAACCAATTATATCCCACCACCTTAATTGGATTACACCCAACAAAATGAATTGTACAGCAAACAGAAACAATCCCAGAACCAGACAGAGATTATACAGACAAACAATAGGGAAGTGGAGACTGCAGTGATAGAACAATACAGAAATGAGGATTTCGCATCCCTGCTATTGATAAGTGAGTTCTTGCCAGACAGGATGCTATCAAACTAAGTTTCCTTTTACATCTTCTAGGCTCTTCCCTTTCTCTGGAGGTGACAGGAATATCAGGACAGGATTGTATTCCTAACAGCCCAATAGCACCTTATTTCCATGGGACTAGTTTGGAATGTGAGGATGTGACCGTTCACTTCCCAGTTTATGGCTGCCTCTGCTGCTTAGCCAAAGAACAGGGCCTCAGACTGTCACAGTACGAGAAGGCCCTTACACAGACAGACAGTGATTTTGATTCTTTCTTTTGTACCTCTATAACTAGCTTAGTGATAAGAATACACCTACATTCTTAAAGTCTAGGCCTTTGCAGACAGGCCTGAATATCTCTATCCTAACCATCACCATTGCTTGTCTCACCTGATATGGGTGGGTCAGGAGTGGTCCTCCCAGCAGTTATAAGGGAGTGAAGACAGGGTGTACAGTGGCCCCTGGGTCTCTCCTCTTCTGTGCTCCCTGCAGTGCTAATGTGGAGGCTCGACCCCATCCCCTCCTGCCTCCCTGACACCTCCCTCCCTGAGCCAAACCTGTCCCTGGCTGCCTGCCAGTCGGGAGGCCCCTCTGCACGCGGAGCCCAGCTCTGTTGTCTTTGTAAATAGAACAAGGGGCCAGCGGAGGGATTTCTCTGGTTTCGTTGCAAAGTTCCCGGGCAGTTTTCCTCTCCACGCTCCAATGGCCCCCCCAGCAGGCTCGGCCTCTTCCCTTCCTTTTGGCTTCTTCATGGGACTGGGGTGCGCACACAGGGCTTCCTGGTGTGGGCTGGGCAATGCCTCACTTGTTTCAGGTGGGAGTGTGGCTTACTGACGAGAGCTGGGGACTGGAAGTCAGGATGCCCGGGTTCCAAACTCAGCTCTGCCCTGATTTCCTGAGTAGTGCTGACCAAGTAATTTCCTGTGCCTCAGTTTCCCTATCTGTAAATGGGTGATGATTCTCTCTGTGCCGCAGAGGTCCGAGTGCCTGATTCTGCTGTCATGCGGACCCTACGCTGCTGGAACTCCCCGATCCTCACCGGGGTGAGATCATCGCAGGCTCCTTACTCTGGTGCACTACTCCAGTTGCCAGGAAAGGTTGAGAACCACTGATCCAAATGAGCTTCCTTAACTGCTTCCTCTCTTACCAGCCGAGTTCTGAGAATGGTTCTGCCTGGCCCAGAGACTCGCCAAGAGCTGCCACAGCACTAATGGAGCTGGCAGGGTGGTGGTGGTGGCTTTTATTAGAATTTGTGGCCCAATACATCTGGGGGTGCATCAGAGGAGATGAGTGTGGAAGTCTCTCAGCCACTCCCAGTCACCAGTGTCTAACCGGCCTGATGGCACGTGGCATGAAACTTCTTGCCCGACACTACCCCTAGGCTGCATAGCTTAGCTGGTATCCATAGTGCCCTCCCGTTCCTTGAATGCTCTAGAGAACCAGGAGGAACATGGATTTTAAAGCATCTGAAGGAGCTGAAGTTCAAAGCCTGTTTTCTCAGCTCAAATTCTGGTCTGTGGTTATGCAACATTTCCCAGCGAGTAGCTTTCCTGCAGGGTGCTGTGTCCTTCCAGCACCAGCCCGGGGTGAACATTTCCCTTCAGAGCAGAGCATTTGGGCACAGATGAAGAGGAAAGTGCAGAAAGCTCCACACAGAGAGGGTAGAAGAGATGACGAGTGCTCAATAAATGCTCCCACCCCAGAAAAGTGGAACTAATGGCGTTTGCGACGTAAAGCAGGTGCTCTGCCCGCTAGGAGCACACGACAGCACTCCAGGATTAGCTACAGCAAGGCTCCTCTGCTGCCAGGGAGAAAAATAACTGGAGCGGAGACTGGAGGTAATTCCTCCCTCGTTACTACGGACATCTGGGACAGGCACAACAGTTCAGTTAAAGTGCAGGGTCAGCCTGGGTCCGGGGGCCAGGCCCGCCTGGGTCTGAATCCCAGCTCTGATACTCACTGGCTGCAAGGCCTGGGGAAAGTGACTTCCCATCGACATGTCTCCGTTACTGCTACGTGGGAGTGCTTTGAGGATCGGCTAACGATGGTCAAGCGCTTTGGAAATGGGATGTTCTCTGTCAGTGCGAAGGGCCAGGCACTGGGAGGCGTGCAGCTCTCCTGACTCCAGTGGGGAGCTGGTAACCAGCCAACCCCTCCGAAAATCAGGGGCTGAGTGCAGTTGTCATGCACATCAGACTTAACCCTTCATGTGCTAGCTAGTCAGAGTTGGAACACACGCAAACACTGGCTACTTTGTAAAGGTTTGGCAGGGGGCTGTAGTGTGTGAATTGGGGAGGGTTTCTGGCAGCTTCGGATGAGGGGTGGGGCTCTTGTCCGGAGTGCTGCCATCCTATACATCTCCCCGCCCCCCAAATCCTGCATTCTGTGCTGGTCTCCCTTTCTCAAACAAGATAGTGCAGCGATAGGAAGGGGATAGAGACGAAACGGAGGCCGGGAGAGATTGAAAAGACTGGGACAGTTCAGTGTAGCGAGGAGGAGACAAAGAAAGGACTGGATAGACAGGTAAATCAGGGCTCTCCTTTATCACCGCCTACACTGCAAGAACAAAGGGCCATTCAGTGACTGGAAAGGCAGCCCATTTAAAACTCATCAAAGGAAAAAGAACAGGAGTACTTGTGGCACCTTAGAGACTAACAAATTTATTAGAGCATAAGCTTTCGTGGGCTACAGCCCACTTCTTCGGATGCATATATGAAGTGGGTTGTAGCCCACGAAAGCTTATGCTCTAATAAATTTGTTAGTCTCTAAGGTGCCTCAAGTACTCCTGTTCTTTTTGCGGATACAGACTAACACGGCTGCTACTCTGAAACTCATCAAAGGAAGTAATTGGTGCATAATTCACCTGTAGAACTCTCAGCCACAGGATAGCACTAGGGCCAGGAATCGCTGAATGACTGAAACAAACGATGGGAGGAGGGGCCCGGGTCTGCCGATGTTCAGTCTGCATTCCTGCTTCCTGCTGTGTGTCTAGCCGAGCTGGTGGGCTGGGATAAAGGGGCCCTGCTGTCACTGTTATCAGGGACTGGAGAGGGACAGGCTGTCTTCACGCTGTACCGGGCGCTGCTGGGAGCTGTAGTTTTCTCTCCCCTCCCCCAGTGTGTCCTGTGAAGCAGGCTAGGCAGCACTCACGTGTGGTAGCATCCTCTCGCCAGCATGGACTACAAGTCCCAGGAGTGCTGAGCGGGCTGGTCTTGGGGAAGTTTGCAATAACAGGAGCGCTGTGAATTCAATCCAGAGCCTGGGTTTAGCTGAACTCTTTCCCTAAGATGGCTGGAGAGAGGTGGGATGACCGCGTCGGTCAAGTCTCTCTCTGAGCAGCTTCCCAGCCTTTGGATTGTGCCTCTCTCCTGTCCCCAGCCCCCGCTTATTAGCTCTCCTTGCTGTCAGTGCAGGGATCTGCAGCAGCCGCTCGAAGAAGCTGGGAGAAGGGACGATTCGACTTACCAATCCCAGTAAAAGGTGAAGGGACAGGATCTCGTCCTCACATCCTCCACACGGGAGCCACGGCATCTTCCACCGAGGCGTCTCCGATGGGAAAGTGCCTGCAGGAGGTGCTGCCCAGGTAGGCCGCAGCTGGGGGACTGCAGGGTGCCAGAGGCTTGCCTGACTGCTTGCTGTCTTGGGCACGCACATTGCAGACAGGAAGGGGTTAATTCTGCTTTCTATTTCCTCCCATCACAGAAGAGAGGAAGGTGGTGCTGTGGTGGGCGGGGGCAGCCTTTGATTCCTTGTTGCTCTGTGAGGGTTTTGTGGTGGGGTTTGGACACTTGCTGGGGGAGTTGGAGACCTAACAATGCGTCACCCCATTTCTTGTTACTTTGTGCCTTCATGCACACTCCTGGCTGAGCTCCCTGCCCCCTGGGGACAGTAACCGGGCTGCTGTAATAGCCTGATGAACTGTTCAGCATGCTGAGCCTGAGCAGTGTCCAGACCTTGTCTGTATGCCTGGCCTGCCTGGCACACGTCTGGGGTCCCAACCCCATCTGGTACCCCCTCCTGGAGGTGTGGAACCCTGTGCTCCGGTTGCCCTAGGCCCCAAGACCAGCGCTGATTCCCCAAGTCTTCCCAGCATTGAAGCGCTGCCCGCCCGGGCACTCTGGTTTACAGGTTAACCCTACAGGGACTTTGTTACAGTTAAAGCAAGTAACACAGACATTGCAAAGGTATTTCTGAACTCCACACACCTCACTCATACCCAGAGCACAAGGGATATACAGCTATGGAGAAGTAACAAACAGCTGCATGCAAGACCCTGCCTCAGTTTCCTCACCTCTCCTGAGAGCCCTTTGGATCTTAGTCACTGTACTTCCGGGCGTCCAGGATCCTTCTGGGCCCCCTCTCCTCCTGCCCAGCTTTCTCTTTGGTTCTGGGCTCCATTAGCTAGAGATATTACCTACAGTAAGAAATACAGCTTGACTGTTTTCCTGGGAGGGAGGATGTGGTGTATCCCAGATTCACTGATGGGGAAACTGAGGCACGGCAGAGAAAGTGACTTGCTCAAGGTCACATAGTGAATCAGTGGCAGAGCTGGGCATAGAACTCCCAGTCCCCTGCTCCAGCCACTCCCATATGTGAGATGCTGCCTGCCAGCAGTTTGTTCACAGGTGTGTCCCCTGTCCATTCCTACCCCAGCTATCCCAAGCTCCTTCCTCCAGACAGAACCTTCTGCTCTCTGACATGACATCTGCGGCACGGTGAGGTAGGCAGGAGCCGTGGTACCACCAGCCACCCATATTGTACTCAGCCATGTTGCCCGGTACGAGTGCCTGGCACACACAGCCTGTTCTCCCATTTCGGCCAGCACACAATGGCCTTGCCCAGTAGACTGGGGTGAGTGACTGCTGTGCTGCTGAAGCAGGCAGTGCTGAGTGGGGGCTTCTTGTTGCAGGTGCCGGTGACGTCTGAGGACGGCAGGGTCTGTTTCTCCCCGGCGGAGTGGGCGGCGTTAGCGGAATGGCAGAGGGAGCTGTACTGGGCCGTGAGGAGGGAGAACTACACGCAGGTCACCTCGCTGGGTGAGGACTGTCTGGTGCACAGGTTAGAGGTGAGATGCCAGGCAGTAAAAGGGCTGGAGAGTGCTGATCGGGGGACAGTGCTGGGCGGGGCTCAGCTGTCACTGATTGAGGAGCCGTTATCTTCTCCTTCTTCAAATCCCTTTGCAAGAGGCTGCTCCCTGAAAGCAGAGCTGGTACTGCGGTGCATGAGACAAAGCTCTTCCCTCCAGCCCCAGACGAGTGTCACTAAACTCACTGCCCACTGCTGCCTGCCTCACTCTCTCTCACCAGCCTGTGCTCCCCCAGCAGGATCTGGGAGCCAGGAGCTGAGGGAAACTGTCCTAGGGCTGCCAGGAGCCAGGCTCTCTACTTCCTCACGGCTCCATTTTGCAGCCCTCCCTGGCAGGGCAGAGGGGTGCTCCCTGGCGGCAGTGGGTGGCTCTGGGTGTGGCCATGAGGGGTGCTGGAGAGGCTCACCCTCTTTGCGATGTACGTGGCTGGTTGGTGGGGCAGCAGGGAGTGCTCTGTCTCCCTCCTCATTCTGTCCCTCCTCCTCAGGCGAAAGCAGCTCCACGCGGAAGAGCGATCAGGCTGGACCCCTGGTGGAGCGCAGGCTCAGGTGTTGCCTGTTGCAGGCTCTGAGAGCCCCATCCCCCACACAAGGCAGTGAGGCTGGCCTAGTGGCTGGGTGTAGCCATGTCCGAAGAATTGCACCCATCAAAGGAGGGGGCAGGATGGCACAGCGAACTGGAGCTGGGCTGTGGAACCTTTTCTCGTGGCGTCACCAGTTCAAATCCAGGTCAGTGCTGCTCCAAAGTCATTGTCATCTGAGCCTCTTTGGAGACCCTCATGAAATTATTTGGAGGGCCTCGGTCCACTTCTTAGGCCACCTCCTAAAATCCACCCCCAGCCTGGCCCTGTTGCTGTCCATCTTGCATGAGACACTGGCGATTGAGTGGGCAGCGGAGACTTATTCCTCCCCAGGCACTAGAGGGGCTGGGTATGATTGTGCCGTTTTCCATTCTCCGCTCTGACCGTAGCCGTGCTCTGAGCAGCCGCGTCCCTCCACCCAGCGCCAGCTAGCAATGCAGCGGGGACCGAGCCCCGGCTCTCGTTGACTTCAGTGCAGGCAGCAGTGGTCGAGCACCTGCTAACAGGAATATTTTCCCCCCTGACCCAGGCCACCCGGCTCTCAAACCTGATCTCTTGTTCCGGATTGAACGAGGGGAACAACCAGGTGTGGGGGTTCAGCTGATCTCTGGTGGCTTAGAGCGTCCACCAGATCCCTGCGCAGGTGAGTGCTCAGTACAACAGCTGGTTAGCAGCACACGAGGTCGAGAGAAGCAGATGAAACCGCCATTGGCTTAATCCTTCCATGTCTTTACTCACTTAGATCAGATGAAATAGAATTTGCTAGAGTTTCAGGAGACGTGTCAGTCGTGGATTTGCACCAGTCCTAAATGACATCTGGCTGTGGCCCCTCTCCTTTGATTGAGTGGTTCAGGGAGGATTAGTGGACAAGGCAAAGGACAAGTCTAGGCTCCCGAGTTCTAATCCCAGCTTTGTCACTCTGACCCACTGTGCAAATTTGGGTCAGGTCACTTAACCTTCCTGGGCCTCAGTTTCTCCATCAGTAGAGTGTGGCTAGTGATCCAGACTTTCCTCCCAGGAGACAGGCTGGAGATGGGATTCATTAACACACGTTACGGGCTTTGAGATTCTGGGTTGAAAGGCACCAACAAAGTATTTTTATGAACATTTGGAAGATAGGTTGAAAGCTCACTGTTTTCCTGGCCGGATCTGCTCTCCTCTGTCTGCCAGTCGCCCCCAGGACAGTGGTGAGGACAAGGAGGGCTAGCCAGGGGTGTGCTGATTGTAGTGTCCGGTATCTTTAATTCCACATTAGGCAGCAGAGGCTTGGAATAAAGACAAAGGTTCCCCTGGGACTTGGGTTAATTATTTGATTTGTGAAGTAGCAGATGCATGGTCTCCAGCACGGTGGTGTTGGCACTGGATGCGCCGCACCATACCTGATGACATCCTCTATCCCCTCAACCAGGCTATGGATTTTTCAAGCCCGATGGTTTCTTCCGGATTGAGCAATGGGAGGAGCGATACATCGAGGCTCAGCAGAAAGTGGAGGAGAGCAAGATCCTGGGAAGTGCCTGCGTAGGTGAGTGAGAGCAGCGATTGGCTCTGCTCTGGGCTCCCCTTCCAGCGAGGCTGAGGTCAGCACAGGGGGCGCTTTGCTGGACCTGTTGTCTCAAAGGGCTGCAGTTCCATAGCAAAGATGAGGCCAGCTGCAGTCTGCTCTGCCTTGTGCCAGTTGGCTGCGGCCTCTGCTGTTCTTGCAGGCTGCCAGTGCAGCCCTCAGCTGGGTACAGTCTGGGCCCAGCCTTAGCAGCTGCTCGTTTCTGTAGAGTTTTACAAATGGCAAGGAAGGCCCAGGAGTTCATGCCGTCACTCTCTCTTTGTAATCCAGCAGAGCACGGGGGTGTGAACACAGTCGAGCAAGAAGAGAACTCGGAGAGCTTTGCTGCGGACTTAGAGCTGTCCCCCGTTGTCTGTGACAGTTCCGACGGCTCGTTTCACAGTCAGCAGCTGGTATCCAAGAGGCAGCAGAGAAACCAGACAAGGATCAAGATGGAAGAATCAGCCGGCTTCAGCAAGTGTTCAGATGCCGTCGTACGTCAGCTAGGGGCTGGGCCTTTCCAGTGTGCCGAGTGCGGGAAACGCTTCCGCCAGAAGCAGAGCCTCATCACGCATGAGAGGATCCACACGGGAGAGAAGCCCTACAGGTGTCCAGACTGCGGGAAGAGCTTCAGCCAGAAGCCTAACCTCCTGACTCACCGGCGGATCCACACCGGGGAGCGCCCCTTCTCCTGCACGCAGTGTGGGAAGAGCTTCAGCCAGAAGGCCAATCTCATTGCCCACCAGAGAACCCACGTGGGGGAGAAGCCGCCGCAGTGGAGTGGGCTTGGGGGGAAGCCAAAGTCCCCAGCACAGCAGGGAGACCAGGAGGAAAAGCGGCCGTTCGTATGCCCCGAGTGCGGGAAGAGCTTCACGCAGAAACCCAACTTGGTGACTCACTACCGGACCCACACGGGCGAGCGGCCCTTCAGCTGTGCCCAGTGCGGGAAGAGCTTCAACCAGAAGACCAACCTGGTGACTCACTACCGGACCCACACCGGGGAGCGGCCCTACGCCTGCCCCCAGTGCGGGAAGCGCTTCACCCAGAAGACCAACCTGGTGACTCACCAGAGCACCCACACGGATGCGCGCCCCTATCCGTGCAGGGAGTGCCAGAAGTGCTTCAAGGACAAGGTGTCCCTGAAAGCACACCAGAGAACCCACAGCCTGAGCCAGCCCAGACCCTGTGGGACTGCAGAGCCAATCCCACTCCACAGTCCCCCCGCTGTGCCGCTCCAGCCCACAGGTGCCGAGCAGGAGAGCCAGCGCGACCCCACTCAGCCAGTGCCAGCCCAAAAGATCCCCGGAAGCCAGGCACTGTGCACGTGCACTGACTGTGGTAGCAGCTTCCCCCAGAAACCGCATATCCCACTGCCCCAGCAAACCCCCTCAGCAGAGCAGCCCTTCCTGTGCGTGCAGTGTGGGGAAAGCTGCCCACAGGCGGCTCTTCTGAAGCACCAGCCTGGCCAGGCCAGGGAGAGGCCCTGCGAGAGCGCCCAGTATGGGAGAGGCCTCAGCCTGAACCAACATCTCCTCAGACACCTGGAACCCTGCCTGGGCCCTTGCGACGCGGCGCACGCGGCCCCCGGGGCAGAGCGGCCCTTCATCTGTAACCAGTGCGGGAGCAGCTTTAGCTTTTGGCCGGCTCTCGTTGCCCATCAGGGCAGCCACGCAGGATGGCAGCCGTATCAGCTTCCTGAACGCGGGAAAGGCCTCAGGCCCCGGCTGTCCCTGCCAGCCCAGCAGGATGCGCAGGTGGGGGAGACAGCCTGGACGTGCCCCGAGTGCAGGCGGAGCTTCAGCCAGCACAGCCAGCTGGCAAAGCACCGGGAAAGCCACTGGGGCGACAGGCCCCATCGGTGTGACGTGTGCGGGAAGAGCTTCGGCTTGAAAGCCAACCTGATGACGCACCAGCGGCTCCACACGGGCGAGCGGCCCTTCGCCTGCAGCCAGTGCGGGCGGCGCTTCAACCAGAAGGGGAACTTGGTGACTCACTACCGGACCCACACGGGCGAGCGGCCTTTCGCCTGCCCCCAGTGTGGCAAGAGCTTCAGCCAGAAGCCCAACCTCCTCGCCCACCAGAGAACCCATGTGGGGCGGCGGCCCTTCGCCTGTGCCCAGTGCCCCAAGCGCTTCAAGGGCAAGATGTCCCTGAAGATCCACCAGCGTGTCCACGTCGGGGAGAGACCTCCCGCAAGGCCGCCGAGCGTGGATCTGATGGAAGCCCACACCGGGAAGAGGTGCTGTTCCCACTCCCCATGCGGGAAGCCCTTCAAGGAGCACGTCGCCCTGGAGCTCCCCCAGCGAGTGCCCGGTGGGGAGCGGCCGTACTCCTGCCCGGAGTGTGGGAAATGCTTCCGGCAGAAGGTCACGCTGGTCACGCACCTCCGGACCCACACCGGGGAGCGGCCGTTCCAGTGCACCCAGTGCGGGAGGAGCTTCAGCCAGAAGCCCAACCTCCTCACACACCAGCGGACTCACACCGGCGAGCGGCCCTTCGCCTGCACCGTGTGCGGGAAGGGCTTCAGCTGGAAGCCCAACCTGGTGACCCATTACCGCACCCACACCGGGGAGCGGCCCTACAGCTGCGGCGACTGCGGGAAGACCTTCAGCCAGAAGCCCAATCTCCTTACTCACCGCAGAACCCACTCCCAGCAGAGACCGTACGCTTCCCCCAGCACCACGCAAGCTTCCCCCACGGGGACACCTTCACCCTGCGCTGTGGTGGGGACTGGCCCCACATGTGCTTGGCCTGCAGAGGGCGCCTCAGCCACCACGTCCCCCACGGCAGGGAGCTCCTGAAGCCAAGCAAGCAGAGATGTGGTGTCAATGCAGCGGGGGTGGCAGGAGCTTCGAAGATCAGAGAGCTCTGCGGGTGCACCAGAGAGCACCCGTCCCCCTGTGCGAGCCGGAGTGAGTAGAGCGTGCGCCTGATCGGCGAGCTGTACGGTGACTGGGATCTGGGAACGGGGGGCTAACCCGTGCTGCTGCTGCACCCCCAACACCAGACACGGACCGGGGAACGGTACAGCCAGAAGCCAGATCTGACTTCATTCTGCACACACCGAACTTCAGAGAGGACACAGCTGCTGACAGCGGGCAAGCCGGCAGATTGATCAGCACACGTTGCTGCAGGGTGCGAAGAGACGCCGAGTACTGCTGTGAGCAGAGCGAGGGGAGGGTGCAGCAAGGTGGCAGGCCTGGGACGCTGCGGCGAGTGTCCCGGGAAACCAAACCCTGAAAGAGACTCCCTGGGCGGGAACGGCCCGTGGAGCTCTCCCCTCTCGCCTCCCTGGAGCTAAACGTGGGGTGGGGGCGGCTCTTGGAAGCTACGATCCAAGCTAGCCTGGGCGTACGTTGTACCGAGGGTATTGCTGGGTTCTGGATCCCCCCCAGAGCCAGCTGCAGGGCAGTGAAAGGCCACCTGGGGCTGCGAGCTCCAGCCCCTGTAGACACAGTAACAGCGTCCCCCCCGTCCCTCCCCCAGGGGGTCTGCACTTCCCGGGGGGGGGAGGGGCAGGAGCCCCCAGCCCCAGAGAAGGCTGCAGTCGGTCTGAAAGCAGTGGGGGCCCCACGAGGACAAGATGCCCTTGCTGGGGAGCGGGAAGGAGAAGCTGCATGCTAGGGCAGAGCTCAGCTCGATGGCAGGGCCGCCACCCGTCAGGTCAGAACTGAAAACCAGAAGGGGCAATGGGGGGGACACAGGGAGCCTGGTACCGGCTTAGCTGAGCCACCAGCCTCGGCCAGGTGTGTAATTAGCTCCACGGCGGAGAACAGAGCCATGTTCCAGCATGATACTCCCAGCAACACTCTGCCCGTCGTCCCAGCAGTAACGTGGCGACACCATGAGTCGTATGTCCCAGATGGGAAGAAAAGAAATACTAATGGCGGGAGGACTGGGGGGATGGGGCACGCAGAGCCCGTGGCTGGGGGGACAATGGCATGGGAGGGGGACATGGGGCACACACAGAGCCCCTGGCAGATTGTGGAGGGCAGAATGGGGGGCACACAGCCTCTAGCATGAGGCTGTGGGTTGTAGCAGGGAGCCCCTGTACTAGAGGGGGAAGGGAGGGTGGCACCCGGGGAGCATGTGGGGAACAGAGGGATGAAGGGACCCTGGTGTGTGCACTGAGCTTGGCCTGCAGCAGTGACAGCGCGTGTGGTGACCCTCTCGTAAGTTCTCTTCCTTACCTGGAAACGCAGCCAGCAGTCCCCCAGGTTGTTACAGCTAAGGGGGTATCACCTGGGTAGGTCGATCACTCAGCAATGGGCCGGGCTCCGACAGCTGCCCCCAAAGCCGTCCCCAGGGCTGTGCATTCCCAGGCAGCGTCTGGCGCTCAGGCCTTCCCAGGATCCTGTGTGCTGGCGGCGAAGGCACCGCCTGTGCGGGGTGTTGTGGGGACTGAAGCTGCCTGCTGCAGATGAGTGAGCAGAGGTGGGGAGGGGACAGCCTGGCCAGTGGGCGTGGCTGGGTGAACTGGATCAAATGATGAGAAAGAAGAAGCCAGGGCTGGTTGGGGCAGGGGGGACCAAATCCTATCTTCACTTAGTGACAGTGAGGTGGGGCCTGCGCTGCGCCATCTCTGCCCGGGCACCAGCCCCTGCTGTCACAAGCACCGGCTGCAGGAGCTTGGGACAGGCGGAGGGAAAGGAGCCCTTTGTGTGACCGTCTCAGAGCGGTTCCCACCAGCCATTGCCACACTTAGCCCTGTTGGGCAGTCCCCGCACGTGGGCAGGACGGGCCACTGGCCCTGGCCTCCACTGAGCCCCAGAGCTGATCTGCTGGGGCAGGGCTGGGAGATGGGCGTGTGCACATGTGAAGCTTGCAGGGCCCTGCCATACCTGCTGACTGGTTCACCGGGACGGCGGGCTGCAGGGCTGCTAGGCCAGTGCCTTTCTCCTGCACTGACCTTACATAGCTCCCAGGAGCGCCGGGGGGAGCTGGCTACGGAACCCACTGGGGCTTTTTGCACCTCGTGTTTCGCTACCTGACTGCGCTCCATCTCGGTGCTGAGGTCTCCTGAAGCTTTGGGCCCCTCCCAGCAGCAGCGGCTGGCTAGGGTGAGAACAAACTAGCGTGTTGCTTCCTTTCGTTCTTATCTAGCCTCCGTAAGTGCCCCCGGCATGCCAGCCAGGCACCGCTGTGCAGCAGGGTTCATGGAGCGCGGTGCTCTGGAGGGGACCCTGCCTCAGGCGGCGGGGAGTGAAAAGCTGTACACTCCACAAACGGAACTGGGCTGCTTCCACCCTAAAGTACGGAGAGCTGTGCGCACCCCGTTCCTGCAGCCATCTCCCCGCTTCCCTCTCACTCGTGGGCACGGAGCCGCTTTGTTCCCAGCCACTGAGGAACGCGTCCTGCTCTGGATGTTGGTTAGCGCTGGGCGTGACATGGACTTGTGCCCTCAGAGGAAGTTCTTCGGGGCGGGAATTCTTGGTGCTGAGCTAATACCCACGATAACTGCGCGTGTTTGCACTTGCCGTGGGCACTCACTAGGTTACAGCTGTAGGCATGGGCGTTTCAGCCCCCTGTGGTTGGTAATCTAGGCCTGCCCTGTCCCATGACAGGCCCTGAAGTGCTGCCATTGTCTGCCACTGGGCCAGGCGTGTGTTTCCAATTGCCATGGAGCTCATGGAGTGGAGGTGGCATGTCAGTTCCTAGGGGGTCAGCACCCTGAGGCAGGCAGGCAGAGCCTGGAGGACTGGTAAGGACTGCGTTACTGATCAGGCTCCTGGCTTAGAACACACCTGGCTAGGCGGCCAGTGGGATGGGACTGGCAGGGACGGGAGGCTGCTGGATAGTGCGGGGTGGCACAGTTGCTTAGCCTGGTCGGGGACCATTTCTCTAGCATGAAGTCAAACCTGCCGTGTACCCGCAGCCGTCTCATCACCATCGCCTCATGCTGCTGCTATGTATTCATGGCATGTCCCTGGTGGGAAACGCCCATGTCACCATCCTTGTTAACCCAGCCCCGCCCTCACGCCGTCTTTCAGAGCCTGGGGAGTCTATTTCCCCCCGATACGTTCATTTAAAATAAAAGCTTTGGGGCAGCAGGTGAGTTCTGTGTTTGTGGAAATGCCTGTCTGGTTTCGTGGCCTGCTGGGGAGCAAGGCACAACCGCAGAGGGGAACCGGATCAGGGGATTGGGTTCCAGCCTGTTTCGCTTCTAGGCTGAATTCAGGCCAGGCCAGCAGTAACTGCAAACCTTTGCTCTTGGGTGGCTGGTCAGAGGCCTGTGAGAGGCGGGTGTCCATAGAGCTCCTAGCTCTCCTCGGTGCTCAGTGTAACTTCTGTGTATTGGCGTCTCTGTGTCTGTCCGAGCAGTGGGGCAGGAGGTTGGAGCTCCTGGACACCCTGCAGCGTTAGGCCCATTGACCTGTTCCTCAGCCACAAAATGTAGGGACAAACATCCGCCCTCCTCGTGCAATGTCCATGTGATACCAGGACCCTGAGCTAGCCTAGGGCAAGTCAAGCCCTGCGGTTGGCTGGAGAACCACTGCTGGCCGGCTGAGCACTGTTCATAGGGCTGGGATGAATGTGTCCTAGGCAGCTTGGCAGAGACACTGGTTAAGTGACTGAAAGTGTGGCTGAGTCTGGTGCGTGGCCTGGCTGGGGAAGGGAAGGGGGGAGCTGCAAACCGCCTGTGGATCAGCCTCTTGCACTGATGTAAAATAGCCTAGATACCTCCTAAGATGCAGCAGGGTTAGTGCACAGTGTGGTGCTGTGGGGGGTGCAGTGCGCAGTGTGGTGTGTGGGGGTGTGTGTGCAGTGAGCAGTGTGGTGCCAGGGGTGCAGTGCGCTTGCTCCAAAGCTGCTACGTCCCGTGGTCTCAGATGACTCTCGTTTAGTTATTCTCTTCCCAGGTTTTACACCTGAATAACCCCTGTGCTATTTGCTGGTCCTCGCTGGAAATTACAACTGCTCCCCACTTAGTGTTCTCTGGACACGTCCGCTCAGTGTGCAGCGGCCGTCAGAAAAGTGAACACAATGTTAGGAGCCATTAGGAAAGGGATAGGGAACAAGACAGAACATATCATGTTGCTTCTATATAAACCCATGGTACGCCCACATCTTGAATACTGTGTGCAGATGTGGTCGCCCCATCTCAAAGAAAGATATATTGGAATTGGAAAAGGAACTGAGAAGAGCAACAAAAATGATCAGGGGTATGGAACAGGTTCTGTATGAGGAGAGATTAAAAAGACTGGGACTGTTCAGTTTGGAAAAGAGACGACTAAGGGGGGATATGATAGAGGTCTATAAAATCTTCACTGGTGTGGAGAAACACAACACAAAAACTAGGGGTCACCAAATGAAATTAATAGATAGATTTAAAACAAACAAAAGGAAGTATTTTTTTGACACAATGCACAGTCAACCTGTGGAACTCCTTGCCAGAGGATGTTGTGAAGGCCAAGACCATAACAGGGTTAAAAAAAGAACTAGATAAATTCATGGAGGATAGGTCCATCAGTGGCTATTAGCCAGCATGGGCAGGGATGGTGCCAGAAGCTGGGAATGGGCGACAGGGAGGGTGGCCAACCTCCCAGTTTTGCCGGGAGTCTCCTGGAATTAGGCCTTATCTCCCAGAGGCTAATGACACCAAACTCAGAGATTTTAGGCCACTAAAAGTCTGGCAACACTGTGGGGCTAAGGCAGGCTCCCTGTCTGCCCTGGCCCTGCGCCACTCCCGGAAGCGGACGGCACATCTTTGTGGCCCCTGGGGGGGAGGGGGCAGGGGGTCTCCACACACAGCCAGTGCCCTGAGCACTGACTGTGCAGTGCCTATTGGCCAGGAAGTGTGGCCAATGGAAGCTGCGGAGGCGGTGCTTACGGCGCAGGCAGTGTGCGGAGCTCCTGCCCCCAGGGGCTGTAGAGATGTGCCGGCCACTTCTGGGAGCGGCGTGGGGTCAGGGCAGGCAGGGAGCCTGCCTTAGCCCCGCTGTGCCGCTGACCAGGAGCGGCCCCAGGTAAGCGCCTCTCAGCCAGAACGGGCACCCTGAACTCCCTTCTGCACCCCAATCCCCTGCCCTAGCCCTGAGCAGGCTCTAGCACCCAAACTTCCAGAGCCTGCACCCCAACCCCCTGGTCCAGCCTGGGAGCCCCCTCCAGCACCCAAACTCCCTCTCACAACTTGCACCCTGCACCCCCTCCTGCCCCTGAACCCCCTACACCAGGCTCAGCCTGGAGCCCCCTCACACACTCCATACCCCTCGGCCCCTGCCTAGAGACCGCAGCCCCGCCATACACCAACCCCCTGCCCCAGCTCGCTAAAAGTGAGTGTGTGGGGGGGAGAGTGAGTGACAGAGGGAGGCGTGGATGGAGTGAGCAGGGCGGGGCCTCAGAGAGGGGGCAGAGCAAGGGCATTTGGGTTTGTGTGATTACACAGTTGGCAACTCTAGCCACAGGGGATGGATCACTTGATGATTCCCCGTTCTGTTCACGCCCTCTGGGGCACCTGGCACTGGCCACTGTCGGTAGACAGGATACTGGGCTAGATGGACCTTTGGTCTGACCCAGTGTGGCTGGTCTGATGTTCCTAGTAGCACCTACACGCTTCATTCATGACAAGGAAGCTAAGAAGAAGATCGCTAGCCCTGCTTCCCGAGATACCACAGGTAGTAGCTTTGCCCAGCCCAGCCCATTGCCAGTTCTCATATCTTTGATTAGTCTTTCAGCCAGGTCCAGCCCACATGCCACGTAGGATCGCCAGGAGTTCAGTTTTCAACTGGAACCTCCGGCGAAAAGGGACCCTGGCGGCTCCGGTCAGTCCGGTCGGCGGTGCAGCAGGGCTAAGGCAGGCTCCCTACCTGCCCTGGCTCCACGCGGCTCCTGGAAGCGGCTGGAATGTCCCTGCGGCTGCTAGGCTCGGGCGGCCAGGGAGGCT